TTGTCGGCAGGAAAAACGTCAAAGGCGAAATTCGAAATTGTGAAATTTTCAAATACCAAAAATTCGACCCTGATCAAAACTATCCAGAAATGTATTCATTCGGAAATAGGAGACGTATCCTCCGAATTTTTCATATTAAATTCAACATGGTGACCATCATTTGACCGAAATCAAATTTCTGCTCCTATAGATTTTTAGGCATTCCTTCAAGGATTCAGAAAATGCAACTCCCATGTCTGTAAGTAAAATATCGCAAAAGCCTTCGGAATTTTTCACGTTTCAAGATGGTGGCACTTCCGGGTCGGTCGACAAACTCCATATTTTGTGAACGCATGAGCAATGTCTTAGCTAGTATAGAAAAAAAAATACAAGTCAATCTTACCTACTTTTTATCGATTTTTTCTGAAATTTTGATCCTTAATTTATCCAAGGGGAGATACGTTAGGAAATTTCCAATGACATCTTTTAAGTTGCATCAGATCAGTAAGATCTACTTACATTTCAAATTTCATGAAAATGGTGTAAATATTAAAAAAGTTGCCAAATTGGCCTCAACGCCCAGGACGAAATCACAGCGACGAAGAAAAAGGTACGCAAAGAAAAAAAGAATTTGTAAAATAGGTCAAAAATTCACAAAGTTACAGCTATGGAAGTGATTTTTGTTTTCGTTCTAAAAATTGGATGAAAACGTTTTGAAAATATATTTATGCAAAAGCCACGTCCCTTTAGTTTTCCTCTTTTTTTTTGTTTTCGTTTGGCGGTTGGGGGGGGGGGGGAGGTGGTGGTGAAAGTTTCAGAAAGATCCCATGGTTAGATTCTGAGATATAAGGTTTACGGGACCCCCCCCCCCCCCCCAAAAAAAAAAAAAAAAAAAAAAAAAAAAAAAAAAAAAAAAAAACCCAACAAACAGACAAAGTATAAAAATAATAATAATAATCTTAATATACTATTCAAAAAAAGTAGGGGATATTTGATTTTGGGGGCATAATACTAAAATATGCAAATGACTACGAAAAAAGTCACTATAGAACCTAACAGAAGAAACATTTCCAGTTACATGTGACGCCCAAACGCACCAATAGCTACCGCATGGAATGCAGGTGATGCTTGGGATCATCATGGGGGTCCAACCCAAGATTTGCACGACTCTGACTTTGAATGTTACAGTCATTGTGGCATTGAATTCCAGGGTGGAAACATCAGTTTAATTGTTTTAGTGACCAGAAAACAAATTTTGATATGCGTCGGCTTACCCAAAATGAAAGTTTACGTGCCCTTGGCATGCTACAGATCGGCACAACACAGGCGGTTGTGGCGCGGACGATGAATGTTTCTCAGTCTGTCATAAGCAGGCTATGGTCCAGATACCGTGATACACAATCTGTACAGGACAGACCACGCTCAGGTCGACCAAGGGCGACAACTCAAGCCCAGGATCGATTTATCCGTACCTTGGCCTTGAGAAATCGTGTCATCACAGCAAATCAGATCAGCGCTCGTCTTCAAACAGACACTGGTGTGAAAGTGAGTGGCCAGACGATTCGGAATCGACTGCATAGGGGTCACCTTCGCGCCCGACGTCCTCGCGTGATCCCTTGTTTGAGAGATCATCACATTCAGGCAAGACGTCGTTGGTGTAGGGATCGTCAACACTGGGATAATCGACGCTGGAGCAATGTGATGTTTTCAGATGAGTCAAGGTTCACTGTTGATTTTTTGGACAGACGTAGGAGGGTGTGGCGTCGTCGAAACGAGCGCTTCCAAGACGTTAACGTCATCAGACATGATCGATTTTGGGGTGGTTCTGTTATGGTGTGGGGAGGCATCACTGTTGCTGGAAGAACGGCTTTACATGTTGTTGCAGGGCGTGTTACAGGCCAGTACTACAGGGACAACATCTTGGCAGTCCATGTTGTGCCGTTCGCACGACGTCATGGCCGCCGTTTCATCTTCCAGGATGACAACGCAAGATGTCACAGGGCCAGGATCGTTACAGGTTACCTCCAACAACAGAACATCACCACATTACCTTGGCCAGCACTGAGTCCCGACCTCTCCCCCATCGAGCATGTCTGGGACATGCTTGGACAGAGGTTACGTCAACGTCAACAACGTCCTGCCAATGTCCAAGAACTTGCTGCTGCGTTGCAACAGGAATGGGACAATCTGGACCAAAATGACCTTAGACGTCTCATTAGGAGTATGCCACGTCGGATCAATGCTTGTTTGGCAAACAGAGGAGGATTTACCCGTTACTGACTTGGTTGTGATGCTGTGGTAACTTTGCTGTTTGACCCCGGGTATCATTTTACCCTTATAATGGTCAGTCTGTGCCTTACTTAGTCTAACGATCATTTGGAATAAATCGATGAATGTGAACTTCATTTCATTTTGTCATTTGTTTCTTCGTCAGTTTCATTAGGTGACTTTAATAACACTTAAAAATCAAATATCCCCTACTTTTTTTGAATAGTATAGAAACAAAAAGCATTCATATGAAATATGAAAGCATATTAATAATCTTAACAAAAACAACATGTTTCATATGAAATATGGAAGCTTAATGATAACTTTAACAAAAACAGTAAGCTTTCATGTGAAGTATGCAAGCTTAATAATAATAATAATAATAATAATAATTTTAGTAATAAAAATAGTCTTTCACCATTACATGTTGGAAGCCTAATAATCTTAGTAATAACAATAGTCTTTCACCATTTCATGTTTAAAGCCTAATAATAAGTCACGTGTAGAGATAATTGCATGCAAGTACTAACGTTGGAAGTTCCGTTCACAAGTGTAAATGCTTATTTTATAGAACAAATTGAAAATGCACCATCACTATATTTCCCTTCCATCTAAAACAACGAAATAAAGTTATTTACTTTTCCCACTTAGATATTAATATTGGTTTACTACACGCATATTTCGATTGTATATTTTTTCTTTCTATCGTAGTTTAATGTATCCAAGAAATCTTTATCTGGTAAGCAAACGCGTTTCATTCTTAAATCTTTTCTGATATTCAGTATTCTATGAATTAACTTAAAAGTATCTACAATGAAGTAAACACAATAACTTTTGCTAAACCACATATTATGTAGTCTAATACATAACCACCTAGTCTTCAACATACGGGGGCGATGTGTCATCATTTGACGATATGTTGTTACTGGGTAATCAACCACAAACGCTTTTCATTCTTAAAACTTTTTTGTTTATTGGTATTCATTATTCTATGAATTAACTTAAAAGTATCTACAATGAAATAAACATAATAATTTTTGCTAAACCACGTATTATGTTGTCCAATACATAACCACATAGTCTTCAACATACGGGGGCTCTGAACTATCTGTCGTCATCTGACGATATGTTATCACTGGATAATCAATCACATAAACAACAAACTCTCGGTTACATCGGGCAATGGAATATTTTACCTAAAGTCAAATAAAAGCCATAGTTCTGCCCCTTGAATAAATTTTACAATAAAAACTAAAAATTTGAGGTTGAATAGGTAATTTCATGGTCGTCATCAGTTTGATTTGGGCCCCAGTTCGTGAGTGAATGGTAACGTAAAAGACCTGATAATCTAGCCAATGAATTAAATTTGCTCAAATATTGACATTCGTATGCTATCTGTCTGGATAATATAGAGTAAAATTGTCCAACAATCGATTCTTTGAAATGTGGCTGCAATTTACTAATACTACTAATATTCTTGTCGATTTTCATAACACACCAAACGTTCCCGACAAAACAAATTTTATACGAGAGGAATCTCAACAGTAATTATAGATTCAATCGACGCATACAAAATGAAGAAACATTTACACTTATATTCTGATAATAGACTATAAACAAAATGCTCAAACTTACATTTAGAAAAATTAAAAAAAAAATACATACACCTTCCTTTTTCATGATATCACCAGTAAACATGTCAAGAATACTACATGTATCTAACAATAATTTGGGAATATGGATGGCAAAATAAAAACTAAACCGCTATAGCTTAGTGTAACACATGTCAACTGAAACGTTATATCCATATATATAATTTTGTTTGTTTTGTTGTGAATACTGAGACTATAATTTAAATCAGCATAATCTAATTTTTAGTAAAGCTAGTTCAAATTTAATCGGAGCCGTCTTGATTTGCTAAACTGGAGGTCCTGTGATCGATCCCGGTTTTAGCCGAGAAAGTTCATTGGGATTTTTCCGGCGAGGTTGGCCTATATCAGTGGTGCAGGACGCAGGTCCTGACAAGGTACAGCGTATAGTAGTTCGGATGGGACAAAAAACGGTTTCCCGTGTAAAAATTGACGGGCACGTAAAGACACCCTTGACAGTTGTAATGCGAAATAAGAGTATGTCGTAGTATGGCTGTCCGGGCAAAATTTCCCTTATTACACACTGGATGGCGTAAGCCCGTTTTCATAAGCCATTCGGTGCAAAACAATAGGACGTTAAACCCCCTATTCATTTCAAATTTAATCTTTCTGCTAAGATGCCGACATGATGATGTCATACCTAATGGATTCATAGCAAAACTAGAGCACAAACAAATCATCCCACAAGCCAGTAAAAAGCTTATGATTAAACGAATAGTACTTTATAGAAAAGCTAAATGTACATTGTCGTCTTCGATGGCGAGACGCTTAAAAACCTTTGAGCAAGATTGGAGATCAACCACTACGTGCCCTATATGACAATTTACTAAAAGGTGTTAGATAACTTTTAAAAAAGAAACAAGGGTTTGACAAGCTTAAAAAAGAAACAAGGGTTTGACAAGCTTAAGAACATTATCCGAAAAAAGAAGAAGACGAAGACAACAGCATGAAAACCGAATGATATCCGTAATAAGAAGGGTGAATTCCTTTCCAGGACTGTTAAACTGTCATCTACCAACTTAACAGACGACCAGATCTCGCTCATATCCAAAGGCCTACAATGTGTCACAACTAATAGAACTATACCAAACGAATTGCTTATAACCGGAATAGAAGAATGACTACAGAAATAAGCACTAGGAGGTAACATTCAATTTATCAGATACCAAGTTAAGCAATTAATAGAAAAGGTACCAAACATGTCCTGTGACTAATTTAATGCTATTATAGAAGTATTATAAACTGGTTTGTTCGGATTATTAGATTTTATACTACTACGTACATTTATATTAACTATTTGGTTTTATATAAGGAAACTTTTTATACGCTCACATGTATACCCCCGTATTATCCAACGTCCTTGTCCGTTAGTCCGTTCACATAGCTAACGCCAATTTTATTAGTTTATATACTAAACCAACATAGTATTAAAAACTGTTCTTTTTGTTTGGAAAATTAGTTTTTCTACTACTACGTACATTGATATTATTACTAGGTTTTAAAAAACGAAGCTTTATTATACGCCAACATTTTCATGTGGACGTATTATGTCGTCGGTATTGTCCCTCTGTCAGTGTGTCCGTTCACATTTGTTTATGGGCACTCTACGGGTCACTCTTTACATCCGATTTTTACAAAACTTAAAATATGATGTTTATATCCCAAAGGTCTGGGCTCCTTTCGATATTGGTACACATCGGATCGTAACTTCATGGAATATTGCCCCTAATTGTATGAAAAATAGCCCTTTTAAAAAAGAAATCTGGACCATCTAGAGATAACAATATTTTGTAAAACTTAAAATATGTGTTTTTATATCCTAAACATCTATGTCCCTTTCGGTATAGGCGCGTATTGGACCGTAACGTCCTCGATTACTGCCCGTTGGCTTTTATTTGAATTTATAAACCGTTCAATTATATATTCGTAAAACCACAATCCCTGTTGAGTTGAAATTTCGTGAACTTCTCGGAAAAAAATGGACGTCTCCCTGTGCGCAATCGTACATATATACACATGTTCTGGACCTCCTACGGACCACAATTTGTGTCCGATTTAGATGCAGTGGATGGGATTGATTTTGATGTTATGCTCCAATGCCTTTTACGCAACATATGTAAAGGTCTGTGGATCTTAAAGAGAACATCAAATGACCATATTATGAAAGTTGTATGTACTTGAAGCCAGTGTTTATTATAAACACTTTAGCCAATTACAGACCAATCTAATTTAAATTATTCGAAATATGACCGTTTATGTGTGAGACAGTCAGACCCTCTAAAACAATTTTTCGATAACAACCTTAATCAAGTTGATTGGCGTGTGACGTCACAGGGACTACACATATTTTTACTGTATACACAAGCTTCAACATGCTGACTGTACTAATCATTCCCTAAGTTATACAAATAAATTCTATATACGGTATAAGCGTTGTTAACGATCTGACTTTCTGGGTAGTATTGTTACAGAATATATCTCGTGACAGGATTATAATATGTTAGAATAAATTTGATAGTGCCACATTATCTTTGATTGTGTCACTGAGAATTGTGTTAGGCTTACAAAGGTATATACTGCACCCTTTTCCATAAATTTACAAAGTACGAAGTATTACGGAAAGAGTGGGCTGTTGTTTTTCTTTGTAAATTATTCAAATCTTGATTGGTCCCAACGGTGATTTGCAATAAACATTTGTTAAACATACATTATGCAAGAGCTAAATCTGATTATTGCAAGTCTTTATTTAGGCTTCAGATGTCATAGAAATTATAAATTATATCTTTATTTACACAACAAGCACAAAATCAACTCTGTAGACCCACGGATGGCTTGGATTCAGCTTGGATTTAAACGGGATTTCGTTGCCTGATTTAATTTTAAATGGCGTCGTGAGCGGATATTAACCGTTACGTTGACGCCATACTCCCGGATCGAGGCTAAATGATAGAGTGTACGAAGCGAGGCCGCTCTTGAGCGATGCCGTAACAAATGACATCTAAACTATTTAAAGTGTAATAAACTAAACACGGATAATGACAAATTATACAATTCCTGGAGATCGTGTGATGACTAATACAGACGGACAGGTCTTCTGCCTTAATAATATCAATAAAAATATTTTTATTTCGCCAATAGGCACGACGCCACTGATGTATACCTATGGATTTATCATAATTGTATTATAATATCATGTCCTATATTCAATTGATTTAAGGCATGCCCAAAATACAAGTAAGAATGAAAATTTACCCTCTCACTCATTTTGTCCAATTGTTATAAAAATCCAAAAAGGTAAAACACAAATTCGGATATTATGACAGCAGACAAAAGACAGCAGAGATTATGTAGGTGGAGTTAACGCCTGTCAATCAAACGATCGGCCATACTAAGAATCGGTGAAGATGGAATTCAATCCCATTTCTAGTCAAAAATTACACTGGTGATGATAACTATGTTCAGAATAAAGAATTTGACTCAAATTTTCAATATATTCTTCTTTCATCATTTATTTTTGAACTGTTATAGCAAGAATGACTAACTCCTTATAAAAATCTCCCATAATGTATCTTTAAGGTCTACGGCATAAATTTATTGAATGTTTCGGAATACTCAAACAGAAAACAAATTCCCGGATTCCATTCCGCAATTCAATCGTTACCGTCTATTATCGACATAATATCCGTTACTGTTTAAACGTTAGTTGGCATTTAGTCAACAAATAACCCAAACATTCATTCCTTTTTCAGTATGAGCATCTTTCAAAGAAAATAATTCAAAAGATACCTGTGGTCTTCTTGTCGTCTACTAACACCGACACCTTTATTTAAATTCGGTCGAAATTATTCGATAAACACCACTATCTGGCCTATTTAACAAATCATTTCAAAGTTAATAATATAGAGCGATTTAAATGTGTCATGGGAATTTTAATAAGGTTCGCGCATATAGCTGTGGTGGCTTCTTCGGAGATCAAGAAACTAAACTTGATTACTCAATCAACAATCTTAATCTCCTGATAACTAAGGTGCTTATTGTTTCGGTGAAATTAACAGAAGTTATTCTCATAAAAGTTATAATATACAAAACATAGATTACTAATGTATGAAAGTTAATGGGCTCAACTCATTATGATTTGTTCTACATTATGCCACTGCTAGAGAAAATGTGAATATGCCACATGTGTTATAGATATTTGTGCGTGAGATAAATACGGATAAACATATATGATGGGTCTATATTAATCATTTGTCTTGAAAAAACTTGCCTTAGTCGAAAAAGCTACTATTACAGGACCACTCTAAATATTCTTTTTCCATTTTCTAAATGACCGATAACATAAATAATACAAATGTTGATGAACAAAATTTACATGATTATTGTTTCGTAAAAGCCGGCATAATTAACTATTTATCGAAGAAAGCAGACGACTATTAAAATGAGTCCGTCCGTCTGTCTGTCGTCACGCTTTTTGGGACACAATAACTCTCCTTCTAATGGAGCTAGAATGTTCAACTCTGCTGTAGGTGTTTATTAGGTCAATGCCTTGATGGAGTTCGAAGATGAGCACTTTCTGCTTAGGCTAAGCAGAGATAATCAATTTAATTGGTTGATGCTTTGGAACACGATAAATTTGGTTCTAATTAAGTGAGGGTGTTTGGTCGAGACTTAGGAACACAATAACTATCCTTCTAATTGAGGTAGAATGTATGTCCAAACCCGGTGTAGGTGTTTATTAGGCGAATACATTGATGGAGTTCGAAGATGAGCAATTTTTGCTTAGGGCAAGCAAGGGTAAGCCTGGGCAACGATAACCTTAGTTTCATTACATCACTACCTTGACTAAGTACGATAATGAGAATTTATTTCCGGCCCAGGATAAGCAGAGCGGTAAGCAATTTGATTGTAATTAAGTGATAGTCGTGAAGCTTCGTGTATAGTTTATTACATCAATACCTTAAAAAATTTCGACGCTGGGCATTTTCTGCTTAGGCAAAGAAGAGACTTCAATCTGATTGGCGGACACTTTGGAACACAATAATTGAGGTAGAGTGTTCAAACTTGGCGTAGGTGTCTACTATGTGACTGCCTTGACAAAGTTAAATTATGTACATTTTCCACTACGGTTAAGCAGATATAGGCAATCTGATTGGTTGAGTTTTCGTAACAAAATAACTTTTGTTCTAATTGGGTGAGAGAGATGAATCTCCTATTATAGATTGATTATAATAATACCTTGACAAAGTTCGATGATGATAATTTTCTGGTTAAGCTAAGTAGCGATAAACAATTTGATTGGTCAAGACTTTGGAACATGACAACTCTGCTTTTAATTGAGGTAGAATGTTTAAACTTGATGACGATGCCCATTAGGTGAATGTCTTGACTATGTTCAATGATTAGCATTTCCCGCTAAAGCTAAGAAGACTTAAACAATGTCATAGTTTATGCTTAGACTGCGTCGATACCAATTTCATACACATCTTGTTTTAATCGGAAGCCTATTATTGTAGGTGTATTGCTGGCTTACTCCAATATATTCTGATCAAAATAATACGGGAATATGGCTACAGCGACAGTCTTGGTTATGGCATTTATAAATCAAATTCTAAAGTTAAATAACTCCCTTCAGCTATGTTAATTTGTCTTGCTCATTTCATATATAAATAAAATATTTGGTAGTTAATTGTTTTATTTTATCAGGGGGATTAAAGAATCAGCCAGGCGTTAATCAGTAAGGAATTAATATTTATAATATGCATTCGATCAGTGTGATGTCACTGGCGTTTCAGGGCAATAAGAGCTTTTCGGTAATTGGCAAAGTCGTTTGTATGGGAGGTCAATATTTGAGACTTTGAGTGAAGATGGCTCAAATAATTTTCATCCGATTGGCGTGAACTTGACGTGAATTTTATTTAGTAACCACTGGCTGTAAGTACAACACAATTTTTTTCGTCCAGTTTATATGCCCTTTAACAATTTTTTAGGGATCAAAAGGTCTCGGATGATTTGATTTGCGCGCACTTCTGATTTTCCTTTCTGGAGCAATGCAGCCCCACCCCACCCTGCCTTTTGTGCACAATGTGAAATATGTATGAAGTTTGTAGTCCGTCCAGAGGCAACAGTTGTTGTTCGATTTAGAT